TTTGATTGGATTGTGAGGCAAGGGAAGCCAGCCGCCTCTGGCATCCCTTGGCATGGCCCTGACTAATCACATGTTGGCAGGGGCATGACGTGAGCCTTGTCTGATTGGTCAATCCCTCCATTTCTTTTCACCAAGGGAAGCCAATTTCGGCTAGCCTCCTCTTGCAACAGAGAGTGCAATCTACTGTTTCACCATAACATCTAGAGCAGTGTTGCCAACTTGGCGACTTTGTCGTTAAATTCGGCGGCTTTCCAAACCCTTCGGCTACTTATTTTTGTCAAAAGCGACTAACGACTAATCTAACGACTTGTAATGGTGTTATTAGGGACTTTTCTGGTGTTTGGAGACTCACGTATTGTTCTGCAGTTAACGAGCTGCCGTGAGTAGGGGTGCAACAACTAATCGACTTAATCGATTAAAATCGATTACCAAATTAGTTGCCAACTAATTCAGTCGTCGATTCGTTGGTGATGTCATCACGTGTGTTTTACGCGCCGTTAAGCTCCAACGTTATTGGTCTTTTTATCGGTACTGGAGACATTTAAAAAATATATGTCATGTATTATTGCTACAAAAACATTATATAATGTTTTTGTAGCAATAATACATGACATATATTTTTTAAATGTCTCCAGTACCGATAAAAAGACCAATAACGTTGGAGCTTAACGGCGCGTAAAACACANACTAAGTACATCTAGACGTTATTTTTTATAAAACCCCATACCCTCCACAGACCCCTGGGCCTAATTACACGGCAGGCGGTCTCGAAAAAATATATAATATTACTTCCACGCTCGACAGCACGAGCTCAGAAAGGACGAGACAGCCGAGACGAGTACTACACATATTATTGGAGACGAACGAGCCGCTCTACCAGATCGAAGTCATGAGATGGATGCACGGGCGCAATTACCATGAACGGCAGTCGTCGATAGTAATGGACTCCGGACCGACAAGCGATATAGGTATCGATGACACGCCAGACGTGTCTACTGACAATCGATGTCATGACCGTGTGCGTCCACTGTGTCGACACATCTTAGCACCGTCAAGTCCACAGTATCGTACCCAGTGGACAGCCGATCGCTCGTCATACGTGCTGGTCGGTGTTGAACGGCACCAGGGTTCATATACGGTGTTGAACGGCACCGTACATCAACTGAGTGTTCATTCTCTTCGAAATGTACCATGACGTGAGATACGGAGTAGGCACCGTTATACGGGAAGCAATAGATTTAGCAATATAACATAGCGATATTGTCAGCGACAACCATATTCATAATAGCGACTGACATAGACACTGTGTTCTGACTTCTAGACAATGACTAAGAACGCTAGAGATAAAGTTTTCTAATTCCTTCATACAAGATGAGTCTTAGCACAGATGAACTCATCTTCATGGTCAAACGATCTTTATAGACATGTCATTTGCAAGGACGTAAGAGTATATAAGGAGTTCATATATAATCCATTCAACTGTAATTTCTAGATTGACAACTGTCTCCGCTGTCATCTTCGATAATGCTAACAGATGAGTGTCGTATGATATACAATATTAATCTTTATCGGATAACGACCGATATTCACGGTATTCAGCTGTTAGTTCCGCGGTTCGGATGTTAGGTGACTTTTGACCGTTCCCCACTGCTACTCGTACTGAGTCGCAAGACAGTGTCTTGAGCTTGTTCATATTTAACAAGCGGTCAGTTTTGCGTTATCTTACCACTATTTTTCGTAGTAACTACAGGCTAAAGACTTATATGACTATACTAACAGAATTGCCCTAGTTGTACAAACAAAATCTTAGCTGACTATAGTTATAGATTAGTTCTATTAGACTTCGTAATTTATTTACAAAGTTGGTCTTACATCGTTTATAATTTGTGGTTTTGTCTATGTTCATAGGTTATTTAACACGGAGTTTATCATGACAACTCAATAACTATGAATCATGACATGGTACACCGAAATATTTACTATCTATCTGAATATCGGACCGTGTACTCCCGTACTACTTTTATGTAAAGTTTACGAAGTATGTCAAGACGGATTTTATAATTGACCAGACGTGGAAAATGGTACGAAAACTCCACATGCTACTACCTAAGAATCATACAGTAATATATATTGACATTATAAATAGACTATTACATGGTTAGAACATTTCATATGATGAAAAAATGACAAGCGAAAGAAAGTGAATTAAAAACACTCTATTTGAACGCTAGAATAGAACTCATTGAAACCACTTAACGTTCCTGAAACCTCGAACTTGTCCTATCATACCGGACTAGTGACACCACATGCCCGACCTGAGTAATCTCGCGAACTTGACTCGACCACTACACGAATAACAAGAAATACGAAAACGCGATACCAGGTTCCAACATAGACAATACCATGAAGCATAGAAAAAACTAGTATCACTAGTCCAAACAATCCAAACCAACACTTCACTATGAATACAAATGCGTATCGAGCGCGCACCACACAAACCTACCATCGGATACTATTTTTATTGCTAATCTTTTGCTCCCGACTCGATACTAGCAATCCGTACTACACCACACTGACCTCACACTACCGATCAATCCGATCAGAGTATGCTATTAAATCAAACGCATGCCCTTTTTATTTTGAAAAAGTCACGGTGTAGGTAAGGCCGAGACGCAGCGCAGCTCGTCCCCGAGACGAGACTCTGTCCGAACTTGCTGAGCGCAAACGACTGTCGCGTCGCGTCGCCACGGTGAGCATCGCTCAGTGAGACTTGGTGTGATATTATAATCGCCTTTGCCGTGTTCAACTCCATTACATCGACGGACTCGATCTGGGTCAGTAGGCGTGCTCGTCGTCTTCGATCTCGGGTAGTAGCCACGCTCGCCCCGTCTCGCATAATATGTAGTACTCGTCTCGGTTGCCCCGTCCCTTTCTGAGCCTCCGGTGTGTTGCGCGACAGTAATATTCATATACCTTTTTTTTCGAACGCCGGCGTGTATTAGGCCCAGGGTCTGCGGGGAGGGTTATGGCGGTTTTATCAAAAATAACGTACTAGATGACTACATAGTAGTAAGTTTGCTAGGAACTAAAACCTAGAGCGTTTGCCGCTTAAAGCACGGCTTCCACCTGTTCAAACAGTACGGGACCTGGTTCACTATATATAGGATTTAGAAACCCTAAAGAAATAGCAGACGTACACCGAAATTTATTGAAGTTTATGTGCTCTAACAATACTTTTCCTCTAAGTGTCGTATCATACAGACCTAATATTAAGACCAGGCGGCAGTAGACCATGTCTCGTTGATTTTGAATTTGTGACCCCTCACATAGAACCAAGAACACTTAGTGATTAAATAGAGTGAATCAGATAATAGAGATCATCTAAAGTAGACAATACGAAATCCTCATATTTGATAACAACGAATATTATAACACCTCGCAGCATACCCACCACATAGGACACAATACAGAAACAATCGCATCCGCACTGTACACCAATATGGGATAATATGTACGAGTAAAAAGAGATAAGACAATATAAGACATACAGACAGAGGCAGATCGCGGAATGTTTAGCAGCGCGGAGAACACATACATGAAACGAGAGTTGGCTACAAGAAAACAAGAACAATCACAATAACAAAATAAGAAGAGAACAAAATATGAAAAAGCGCAGTAGAACTTTCTTTGTCCACTTTAAACGTTGCACATAAGCCGCGTAGAACAAAAACAACAAACACACTTAGCGCATACACGGCATCTAGGTCAATAGAGACTGTAGACATCACCAAGAGAAGATAAATTTATAATTAAATATACATAGAGAGTCAAATGCTGTGTAAAAATAAAAAAACTGATCGTTTTACAAGAACCCCTTGCTTTGTAGTCATAACACAGCTAAGCACCCGGTGTTACAGTTCTGCCCTAGCCTTCTACTGAAAGAGACGAGGTAACTGCAGTTACATATAACAAGGCGAAGGCCCCCAGGCTACCCAGCCTTCATCTCACCCGCCCCTGAAGCGGAGAGCATATCTCTTCTGGCGCTCACGCGCAGCATCTTAGGTTCTTCATTCAAACTACGTAAAAATCGTGACAAGGCCAAGGAAAGGAGTTTTTACGTTACGTAAAACAAGTATCCCAAAACCTTTATCGAGCTTATTCCAGACACCAACTGTGTTTAAATTCTCTATTACAGTGCAAAACAAGATGCTGTAAGGTTTATGCACGTCGTCACTGCGGGTCGACCCGCTAAAAACCTTCTCAAATGCACAGACTTTGCTACAACCAATGCATTCACCGCACCTTATCCTGATGTCTTTTACAGCCTCCGGCAACATGCAGTAATTACGTCTTGTGCAATCTTGTGAGGGCGATTCAACAAAAGGGACACAAGACGAAACTTTCGGTTCCACGCGCGCGGACGGCATAGAAATCCCCTCAGACATATAGACTATCAGACTGGGTAATCTTAGACACTAAAAAACTTTTAACAGCAAAACCCCATTGTGTCCATCAAAATGTTTAATATCCTTCATTAATCTAATGGTCACAAACAGGTCTAACAATCGAGCCCCGTCAGCAAAGCAAATCGATTGCAATCCGATTTCGATCGGATGATCAATCGATGCGTTACCAACAACGAAACGAGGCCCAACCGTCGGTGTCACGGCCGTGCGTCGCTCAACAACGATAGCCAAGGGCCGGCTACAAAGGTTTCCTCTCAAGACCTAAGCACGGTACTCATTACGACTGCAATGTAAAAAAGGTACAGCTGCACTTTACATTTACGTACCCATCCACTGACATAAGCGGACAAAATCTCTACCCGCGACGACTTTTTCGGCGTCTGTATCTGCATTCATCTACTTATGTAACACCACTGGTGGATCAATATGCTGACCCAATGTATTAAGTGTGTACCTTGATGTCCAACCCCATAACAAAGGGCGTGCCTGTACATCCACACCAGGGACAGTATACAATATATAACACACGGAGGACCGAAGAGAGGAAGAAGGGTCCCTGACGTTGGCCTGTTGTCCAGAAAAGATGAGCCAGATATTTCATGGGAAAACGTCGAAGTACGGTGGCGGAGACTGCGGGATCGAAGCGTGATGTAACCACTGGGACTGTGCAGAGCTCTTCACAAAGGCCCTGCCTGGGCTTGTCCCGTCTCCTTTGAGTCCAAGAAAGAGCTTTTACGGCCCCTAAAAACTTAGCAGCGCACCGACGGTGGCCGTGCGCCTGACTCCGAACCACGCGGCGGAGCCGGTCTTACCGACCCCTACAACGAGCGGTAAGGGCGTAGCCAGAAGGTTGGTTGACCTCTGCTACGTGCTGGACGACCCAGCTGGTCGTTGGGCTACCGTACGGCAGCCACCACCAAAGAAGCCCCGCACGCCGACGTGCAGGCCCGACGCGATCACGATTGCCGATGCCGATCGTCGATGGCCGCCACGGTCGATCGCTCGATTGGGCGATCGACGATTGCCGATAGCTGGAACCCGAAAAGACACGGACTCTCCTCCAAGCTGGTACAGCACCAGCCCCGGAGCACACCTGGGGAGAGTGTTAAAGCGGGTGAAAAACACCTGGACACCTGTCATGCCGGGAAAAACTCGACAAAAGACAGGACTCTCCTCCAAGCTGGTACAGACCAGCCAGGAGCACACCTGGGCAGAGCGGAAAAGTGGTGGAAGGTGCCGCCAGCCTGAATGGGCGCGAGAGTAGCCGAGGACCCACCGCGCGAAGACCTGGGGCGAGCGGGAGCTGTCCAAAAGCTGCAGCGGGTACGGAAAGTAGCCGGGCCCACCCACCGCGCCGAGGCCCTAGGGACAGACCCGGAGAAGGCAAGCGGAGCCGCCAAAACCTGCAGCGGGTAACGGAAGTCAGCAGAGGCACGCCCCCACCGACGCGAGGCCCTGGAAGACGGACCCGGAGAGGAAGAATGGCGCGAGTTGCCAAGTGGAAGCCTGCCGACCGAAAGCCTGCCGCCGGGCAGACCGGAGAGCGGTACAGGTGCCGAGGAAGGAGGGCCCTAACGACGAGGACGAGGGGCCCCTAGGACCGAAGAAAGAAGAGAAGGACTCTGAGTACGTGCGGCACGGCGACCAACGGGCGCGGTACCGCCGGACACACGTCCGAGGAAGGACCGAAACCCGGTGGACCAAATAAGTCGCGGGTAGGGGTGCAGCGTCTGTCGCCTGGGTCGACACCGATGCAGACCCGCCTCACAAGAAGCAAGCGGTGCTGCGGCATGACGCCCGTGGGAAATCTGCACACAGGGTCCACGGCGCTATTTTGGATTCAAAACGGAGAATTTAGCCGAAAGGTGACAAGTTTGCATCCCTGGACAAGATAACCAAAATCCTTGAATCTACACACAGCAAATAAACTCAAATGAAACACGAGATGTAAAAAGGAGATCACACATATAGTCGATATAAAACTGGCCGCTTCAATCTGAAGAGCAACTAAAACAAAACACGGGAGTGTATCTTGTTCTTGTGAACACTAATGTTATCCACGGCATACACAGAGATCACAAAGTTCTTAAGGAGAAAACTAGTTGCTAAAACAAAAACACGTTAGTGTACCTTGTTAGCTAATGTTAGCTATCTGACATTAACCTTAAACATTGCACTAATATTACTCACTGAAACCTTGTAAAGCCGGTCCCGCATGCTGGCTCTTACAGAACCGACTAACTCCCCTTTCGTGTATGTACAGCTGTCAACATGCCCAGACTTGTAGTGATTTTCACCTCGTTTTATACTTTTTCGCCTCATTCTGAAAGAAACAGGTGAAATTTGCTAACGTGACGGCCATCTTTGTGATGGTGACGCGTATTGTGCGAGACCAGAGACCTGTAGTTCACTGAGCGGTTTCACACAAAAAAATGTGTAACTTCACAGTTTTACGACACATTTTTATTTTTTTGACTTGCAAAATGTTCTTTTAATTTGACAAACATCATATGTGTAATTCGTGGCACAATTCAAACGGGATCGAAAGATGACTTTTCTCTCTCCATTGACTTCAATGTATAATTTTCCGCTTCCGGGGTCCCATGGGTCGGAAGTAGATGGGCGGGACTTCGCCTCTCTGTGCCCAATTTATTTACTCTATCTTTGAAACATAACAAGTTAAACAGTCTGCCAAATTAGGTGCCACCCAACCACTTTGCATAAGCCAGAACGTCCCGTACCATCATCTTGTTAACATCACATTATAATAAAAGCAATAAGACATTGCAAAACAACTATTACAACCGAGACTAACAGAGTAGGACAAAGGACAAAGAGAGCACAGGAGTGGCATTGACAGGAGAGTACCTTTCCTTCACATGGCGGTAATGAACTAAGTTCTTATGCAACACCTTTCTAGTTTCCAAATAGACCTACAGATTTCTCTCTTCCTATCTGTACCTCGACCCATGTCTCTTTGAGGGTGCCTATTCATTTATCATCACAAACTAAAAAGAAAAGACAAAAAAAACAATTATTGGACGGGAGCAAAGGACAGAGCGTATCATTATGAAAGAAATCTATGTAAACCTTCATAGGTGAAGATTAGAAATATACCAACAACAATAACAGTGTATGACATGTTTTTGTTTTGTTTTGGGAGGAATGTCAAGACGTCCCTCTCTGTACTCTCATCGAGCAGCGACAATTAGTCTTTTAATTTACTTTTCAATCAACAGAAACTTCAACTAAGATCGGCAATTATGTTTATACAATCATTTAAGCCATTTTGTAGCAAAAAATAAATAAAAACATAATTAGTAACAGATGTAACATTCCAGATGGCAACATGTGTTAATAATTCATTGAGTTATGGTATAAAATGTGAATAATAAACTTTCTTATTCTGTCTGGTATCCTCAACAAGTTTAAAAAACAGCTTTTATTTTTCTATACTTCCAGACTGGCTATATAATCCAGTCCGCAGTGAGTAAGAAATGACACTGCTATGCAGGGGCGGACTGGCCATCTGTAGAATCTGGAGAACGACAGAACGGCCGGCCCTTTAAAAAAAAAATTATTTAACGTCATCATTTAAGTTGCGCTGACGGCCGACAGAGGGCGACAGCGGCCACTAATGCAGTTGTGTGGTTCTTATCTGTAAAATAATTACACACAAAGAAGAAAAAAGACCGGCCACACGAAGAGAAGGGAATAGACGCCGCGGCAGACAGGGGGCCTTTCTCACTTCGGTTAAATGGATTCCTTGCGTCCCTCACTTGCGTCGTTTCCCTGTGACTAGTCCCTCCCACCAGGGAAGCATGGAGGGACGCAAGGAAACCACGAGAAGCAGGGAAATGAGTTTTAAGAGCAATGGGACGTCCTTTCCTCCGAAGCGTCACGTGAAGCGACGTACGTTTGTGATGACTCTGCACAGCTGATCGTCAGCAGCCAGCTCTGTCCCCGTTATTTCCACACACACCCCCGCCTCTGTTAGTACACATTTACTGACACAAACATTTGTACCATCTTTTAACCCAAATAAATAAAAATAAAATAAGAGCTAATTCTCAAAAAAGATAAACGACATTCTTAAGATGTATAAACGAACAATAGTTTGATTGATATTGAGTGCACAAAGTAAATAAAATAATTGAGAGAAGAAAAAGATATATGTTATATATCAAAACCCAGTTAGATTAACATTCATTGGATTGCAAACTTTGTTTTTTTTTTGGATATGTAGCAAATTAACATTTGAAATAAGCACTTAATGACTGACTGAATGGAAATTGACTAATGAAATTGAAAATGTTAAAACGAAAAAAGCGATCTATGAAAATGTTTCCAAAAAATGAATAAATATTTTGACCACTTTTTGTTCAGATATATCACATATTTGTAACTAAAATGATATTTAATGACACAAAGACGCTATAAACTGAGAGTGACTCCCGTGAGTTCATGTTATTTTCTCACTCCGCTGGGAAACTGCTCTCATGTCACAGAAGCATAACCATCAGTGCATGCACTGCATCGTCCACATCAGTGAGCGATACACACAGTAAGGGGGCGGGGCGAGTGTCTGAGGATTTCATCGGAGGATGGTCTGGTTGGTTCCCTTCGATTATAGGCTCCTCCATTATGGCTCCTCGCTCCTCCTACAAAAATAAGGCCAGTTGGGCACGCTACCTCAAGATGGCGCAGAAAATCAGACTTCCGTGAGACCGAGGAGCGATGGAAATGACAAAATAAGAGAAGGTGAGAAAGCGGCCCAAGCCATTTCTCAATCGCGAGGAAACTGGCTTCCAAGCCAATATTTAAATGATACTAACGTCATCGAGTGCCGCCGAAAGGACCTGTTCCAAGTGGTCCAGCATACTTGGAATTCTACCGACGGCCGCGTCCTTGCTTTGGGTGGTAATTTGAGTGCACCATGGGTAGACTTACGTCTTCAAATTCCACACGATGCTTCTGGCAAACGGACCAATTTCCCCAAAATCGTGGCGAAATGTAGGCGGGGCCCTCTCATATGACGCCACTGACACTGCTAGCCTGTTCCAACTCTTCGTTTTCGAATGCCGGAAGATCTTGTCTAGCTTCTGGAGGAAGTGTCTCGAGACATGTGCTGCCACAGCAAGCATCCTACGCGATGAGGAACGGCCAAGAATGAAAAACGATGGATAAAATCAAAGAAAACGAAAGAAAAGGGTGGGGGCAGAGAAGGCAAGAGAAAAGAAGAGGTAAGTCACTCGCAGCTGAAGCATATAAATGTCGCAAATTGACATAACTTGTTGGGCAGCAGCGGCGTAGCTTACAAGCACTATCAGGTCAGCAGCTGGTACGAACAAAGGTGCTTAGGATGATGAGAGGATGAATGAGGCGCGAGTTCAGATTATACAGGCCAGCTCCCTGCTCTCATGATGAGAGACAGGAGTTGAGCTGCTGGAAGAACCATCTCCAACGGCAGCATATTACAAGGTGGCAGGAAAGAGCAAGAGGTGGGTGAGAATATCCCTTGAAGCTGAGTGGCGTTTTTCTCACTGAAAGCCAAGGGACGCCAGCTTCCCCTGTTTTTTGGATTGTAAGTTGTAATAAATACAATAAAAACTCACCTTCGTTCGTTAGTTTCGGTTAATATTCTGTGTGTGTGGTTGCTGCCTAGCCCGTCTCTCCGCCCATTCTCATTGATACTTTACAAAGAGTAGAAAACAGCGCCCATTTAGATGTTATGGTGAAAACAGTAGATTGCACCTTCTTCTGTTCGGCGAGAGGAGAGCTAGCCGAATTGGCTTCCCTTGGGTGAAAAAATGGAGGGATTGCCAATCAGATGAGGCTCACTTCATGCC